ATCGCTCCGGGAAAAATAAACTATCCATTGTTGTTAGAAGATTAAACTGTGCTGAGCTCTAATGACTGAGTGATGAACGAGAGAGAGAGAAGACGGAGAGCCGGAAACGAGGCTTTAATCTTCTAACAATGTGGGTACATCGACTACAATAGAAAGATAAAAAATCTACATTATTAGTAAACAGTGATACATTATATAAAGACTCAAAGTCTAACAAAACTACAATAGTATCAACTTAACGCTTACCTCGGGCAAAACCACTGTCTCTCACTCGTCAGCTGCCTTTTAAAAACATTTGCAGTACTGCATGTTAACATTGCCTGTGCAACCTGTTTCACGGCGTAATCACTCCGTTAGTGAAATGAGTTGCCCTCAGTTTCAGCCTAGAATGGTTTCTCTGCAGGCATGGGTTATAATCCCTAGTGCCCCTATACAGAACCACAAAGAACAGGTCGTAAAACATCAAGCCTGATTTATGCTTGGCGATCTTAAATGTCTATCAGATCTCTCATCCCACCCCACTTGAGGTAGAACAGTTTGAGATTTATGGCTCGGTGTTTATAGCTTTTCCAGCGTTTCCCAGCTATGGTTGTTAAATCGGTTCGAAATGGATCCCTTCGTCTGTTTTCTCGGCAGCTCGTAACTTCCCTTACCCGATTATACTTTATTATCAGTAGCAGTTGCATACCCAGAAATGAACATCCTTTAATCAGAGTGGGTTTGAATTTAATAACGTTGGGTAAACTGCCATTTTTTTCAACGTCATCATTTATTACGAACTTTAACAAATTAAATTCCCTCCAATAACTCTCCTAAGCAGTGACCGGCTATGGGTAATATGGGATTAAATGGTTATGCATCGATTTATCGTATAACAGACGGATGTCAGTCATATATCACTTCAGAGCCTTGGGTGCACCTATGTTTTCAGTAAAGTTTTTACAACCATTACCCATGCGGTTTCGAGCGCTGGTTTTGTTTGCTGTATTTTGGCTGCCCATTTGGATGAAGCAATAGGAGAAAGGTAAAGGTAGATTCGAAGAAAAAATAAAGAATTCCAGTGGACTAAGGTTGCGAGGAAATTAAGAAGATGCGCAAACGCCATTGTTTATGAGACTCAGTCATATCATTCAGTATCTCTAACCACTGGTTGCGATCATCAAGGGGACCACAGCCAGGGAGCTCAACCTATGTGCCTGAATCTCTTGGTTACGGTTTTCAAACCCTCTTGCAGGTGTGATTTTGAGCGCTCTTGGCTTTTTTCCACCCACTACCTGCCGCGGCAAATATCGCGCGCCGTGGCAACCTATTTGGTGGCGTGCGTAGCATGTCCCAACTACCGTGCTCTGGTCGATCACTTGTTCCAGTGGGCGACCGCAAATGCCCAAANCTAATCCCAGCATTGCTTATCCGGTGGCCCCACTAGACTCGTGCAATGCTGCGTGAACAGCGGTGTTTAAACACCGACAGTTTATCTTTATCTTGTTTTCTTACTGACCAAGTTTCCACGCCGTATAGCAGAAGTGGCCGAACCGCTGCATATAATCGTCCCTTCACGTATATCCGGATATCGCGATGTCTCAAGTTGTAAAATGCCAATCGAGCCTTCTGTAACTGGGATGACACTTCATTCACGATGCGTCCGCCGGGTGAGATATAGCTGCACAAGCAGCAAAATTTATCTACTTCCTCTATTACTTCTTCAGTAAAGGTGAGGTTGGGGGCTGGATCAACCCAGTTGTGTAATAAAATTTTACACTTTGAAGGTGCAAAATAACAACATGGATACACTAACAACCAAACTATCCAGAAAAGTTTGCAGCTTACCTGGGTCTTCACTTATTAGTACAATGTCGTTTGCATACTCCAGATCAGNATTTAGAGCAGTCGAAAGAGTCGAAAGGCGCTTTCAGATCGAGGAATATAGAAATGGTGGATCTAAGAAAGGAGTGTCTGTGTTCTAGAATTGGATGAAAAGTGGAGATGTCGATACAACCTCGGCCAGGTCTAAAACCAGCCTGGTTCTCACGTGTGCACCGTTCACCTGCGGAGTATAATAACAGCGAGAAGTTTAGAGACAATGTTGAGTAAAGTAATTCCTAACTAACTCCGCGTTGGATCTATGCCCCACTGCCTTGTGGGTCAGACTATTGAGTCAAAGGCTCCGGTTGGGGTTCCCGAAGAAATAAACCTTCGTTGTTGTGGGCTACCGCGAAGTGTATCGTGCCCCAAAGACTTAGGCACCCATTTGGAAAAACCTCTATCCTATGCCTTTAGTTCTTTCAATCCCGAAAAATGTGCGCCGTATGTCTGAACGGTTCAGTACGGGTTAACAGCTACATAACGAAGCGTCGATGCTTATTCGTTGTATCCGTGTATGCAGCGACTGATTGCAGTTCGCCAGAAATGAAGGATAAATTCTACAAGAACCTCTATTAATTAGTCCTAAGTGCTTGGTCCACGGACATCTTAGTATTCGCCGGAGACCTCAATGCTCAAGTGGGATCCCTGGACGAATCAGAAGGGCTTCTTGGCGGACCACATGCAATCCCAATCAACTGGACTAATCAGTCTGCGCGGATCACGTTTTATTCCTAACAAGCACCAAATTCTCGCACAATAAACGACACCGCCTTACATGGAAACCGCCAACCTCTTCACAGCACTGGACTCAAATCAACTGCATCACCATCAGTTACCGCTGGCGCGGATCCATTGAGGACTGCTGCTCTCATTGATCAACATCTGTGGATACGGACCACGCTCTGTTACGAGCCAAGTTATCTTTAAGCCTGGCAAGCAACAGCAATAAAGTTGCAAATCGGCCTTCGAAGCAAAGCTCTCCGATCGCCTAGCAGTTCAACCACCAACCGAAAGACTCAGTGAATACTGGACAGCAATCAAGGAAGTTATCCAAGTGTCAATCAAAACAACGGCAGATTCTGATGTACGATCAAAGAAAAGCGATGGATCTCCTCGACCTCGCACTGAGCTCAAGAGTTTCGTTAACTCCGATACCAAGGCTAAACCTCCATTCTTAAAAACCTACGAGAAAAGCCCGTCGAGACCGGAAGCCTTATACCTTGGTACTACATCAAATGCAGCGGGTAAACTACGGAGTTTACAAAATGTACAAGAGCCCTTAATGGGACTGCGTCTCATGCAGTTCATTCATGGCGAACGCTGTCCAACCAGACGTTTTTCACCCCAGCTCATCTTCTGCTGTTCAAAACTCAAATCCGCTCTGCTCTTGAATACTGTAATCGCGTGTGGGGTGGGGCTTCGTCTTTCCTTTCCCTTCTCGGCTACGTTCAACAAAGGGCCATCCGGCTGATCGATGTTTCCGCCCTAACATTCAGTCTGCAGTCACTAGCCCATCGTCGGGCAGTTGATTCATCTTCCCTGCTCTATTGTTACTACTTTGTTTCTTGTTCTTCGGAGCTTGCCTCTGCAGTTCCTCTTCCTGCAACTTTTACCTGCTCATCCCGCACACAAGCATCTATTCATCCTTATCAGATTTTAGTTCTCAGAGGCCGTAATTCTCTGTTCCAATCTTTTTTCCTTCGAACTGCCAAGTTGTGGAACACCCTTCCACTTTCTTTCTTTCCCCCAGCTTACACTCTTTAAGCGCAGAACGAACAAACTGGATCTTGCGTGAATGTTCCCCTACTCGCCATTTTACAGTATGCTATTTGTCTATGGAGATTTTTTATGTCGATTGTGAAAAGTTCAGTAGCCTCGGTGGGGTTCGAACCCACGCATGGACACCGCCTACGCTTTGTACGCGCATGCTCTACCAGCTGAGCTACGAGGCCACATCGATAGCACTGATCTTTTTCACATTCGAATTTACCCATCCAACTTACAGAGGCATGTGGCATCCACCAGTTAGCATGGAGATTTTCCCTTTTGCTGTAATACACACGTGTAATAAAAAAAACTGCCTACAGAAGCTCTGGTACCCTATCTAGCCCAGATACTGGCCAACAAAGAATGTTGGTTCTGAGCTTTGTAATAAATTTAGTAGTGACTTCATATTTTTGCACGCTTGATGTCCCACTTTTCACCCCTTTTTACCAGTATTGTGACTGTAGTCTCTTTTTGACTGAAAGCTTGTTTATCACTCGCCAATGCTCCAATACAATGCAATTCAGCTTGACAGAGATCAGTGAAGTTCACTTCATTTGTTCGCCCTGTACGATGAGGATGATGGCCAATAAGAAATTGAATCAAATACTATTCCGCGTGTTAACTTGAATTGATAGTGACCAGAGTTCTGCTTCGTTTCATCTTTTACTAGCATTTGGCGCAGCCATGCAGCCCGTTAAAAAAAGACGTCTGCGAGAAAGACATGATAGTGATACCTCAAGTGAAGAAGAGCAAACGTAAGTTTGTTATACTTGCTTAACAAATTATTTTCTTTAAGTGCACTACCAGATATTAAAGAGGATTCCGATGGTCTGGAAGAGTATGAAAAAGAAGAACTAGATCGTGAAAAGGACATAGAAGAACGGGATGCTTTTGTAAAGCGGTTGATTGATAAAGATCAAGGAAAAACCAAGAGATTGAGCGGTCCAGGTGGGCGGGAATATGATGAAGCTCTACGGAAAGTCGAGTCGGGGGAAATGGTATGTACCTGGCGTATATATTCCTCTTATTGAGGTTGCAGAGCAAGAAGGAGCTCGTTAATGAGTTAAAGAAAGCTTCACGACGGAACTATTTGAAAAAGCGTCAAGCAGATAAATTGGCCGACCTCAAGGGTGAAATCGAAGACGAGGAATTATTTTTTGATAAAGAAGAGTGAGCACATTGATGTTCATTTGATTTCCCCACAGATTGACTGAGCGTGAGCTCGCCGAACTAAAATATAAACAGACTCTTCTTGCTGTTGCGCAAGCTCATCAGCAAGCTGGAGAACTGGAAAATGTATCGAGATATTTCATCCCAACAGAGGATAAGGTTTGGCTAGTTTATTTGTGTACAGATTTTCCCTTAGCGTCCAGACGACAAATATATGGAAGAAGAAAAAGACAAAGCTGCTTATGATGAAGGGAAGCGTTGGGAGCAGGAACATCTTTCATCAGCTCTGTATTCTTTCGGTGCTCGAGATAAAATACAAAAACAGGTATGTTGGTTTTCTTTTACTGAACAATATGCCGTATGTTCTTTGCTTATTTGACAAAATTGTCTATTTTTTAATCATGTAAAATTGTCCAATATTTTGAGTGTATTTAGACTGATTCGAAAAAATAATATCTTTAATTTAATGATTTATGTATTCACTGAAAGTTGGATCCAGTCTTTGATGAATGACATTTTCATGAATCAAATCGTGAATTATACAATCTAGGTGCAGTTTGTAGTAATTTAGGGGACAACGATTATTGAGATTGGGCGGGGATAATTAGATAATCGCGGTTGCCCACTTATTTGATCATTATAAATTTTGATACTACCCTTGTGACCGAATAAAATTCCTCGGTGTGTGACGTTTGAATAGCTAGCTAGCGGCCACGTTAGGACTCAACTGCATTGAAAAACCGACCAAGTTATATTTCAAGCGCCTAAATCGGCATCGCTCCTCTGTTTATTCATTCCCGTTATGTTTCTAGTTTACTCTATGTTTATTTATTTTTCAAATTTTTTTGTCGGATTTTACTTCTTTATTAATCTCTCAAACATGTAGCTGTAGGAGATAATTAAAACCGGATCATGGAAGTGTAAATGTTTTGGTTTTAGTAAGAGACGCAGAAAACGAACTCGTGTTGCAAAATATGGTCTGGCTATCTTAGTACAATGATATATATATATATATACATATATGCATTATGTATACGTATATGTAAGCACCACCCAGTGTCTTTTTATAAAGGATCCTTGTCAGCCTGAATCGACGGTTACCGTGGTTTGTTCAGTTGAATATCATCATTAACTATAAGTTTTGGCACTTTTCTGATTTATCGAAGGAATACCATCTGTGGTGAGAAATTTTGATTGGTCGTCTAGATAACTGTCTTCAAAATGTGTTGTAGGCTACCTTGATTTTTTTTAACTTGTTGTTGTGCACAAAAGTAAAAGTAACAGTAAAGTAAAGTAAAAGTTAGTATACNNNGTTTCAGTTCTCTTTCGATCTCCTAATCGTGCGCAACCATTCACGGGATTTAACATGTCATTTTTTCATTGAGAATTTTCGGTACTAACAGGATATTGAGCGCTTCTGGCAGATTGAGGGTCTACGAAGAGCTCAGTAGCTTGTTCGAAACCAGCAGTAATTTTCGACAAGGGTACCTAATTTTGTCACTCCTGTTCACTTTCGTGATAGGTGAAATACTGGAGAATAGACTAAATGGACTACGAAACGTTGGCATGGAATGGTCAACTGGAGGAAAGGTGCGCAACTTAGAGCACGCCGATAATATCGTTTGTCCGGACACACAAAGCGCACTCACCANAGGCTATGTTCTGTAACTCCGTTCGGTATGAGCTTTGCGCCTTCAAATTGCAAAGTAATAATGTAAGACTGGGTAGGCAAGGTTTATTTATAATAGATTGCTTCTTCTTATGCTAGTTGCGTGACAAATGACGGTGAGGGAGATAACAGCCCACATTTCCAAGGTTCGAGCGGTGTACGAAGGACTGAAACACGTTTGGTGTCGATGTGACGTTTCCTCGAAGTTGCAAGGCCGCCTGTACTGTATCCCTGTGTGGTCAGTTTTGCTTTACGGCTACGAACCCCTATGCTTGTGCGTGGAAGAAATTCGTCGTCTGGAGTTCTTTGATTGTCATCGATGTTTAAGCCGTTTGGCGTGGGTTGGTTGGAGCTAACGTTGTTCATCAAGTATTTGTGATTGATTCGGCCGAGAATTGATTATCATATCGAATTCAGGCTTTCCTGGTTAGGAAGCGTATTGCGCATATCCCGCTATGATCGGCCACACCACACGATACCTTCTGTTGCTCCATGTTGGAGGAGTCCACGCGGAGAGGTCAAGAGTCGGGATATGGAGAAATGCACAGAGCTGTTAATTATGACCAGTTAGGGTCCATGTAATAAAAATATTTCAATGTACACTGGCATAAATTCTCAAGGATACGGCCTAGGTGCTAATTCGGACGGTGACAGCCTGTTACCGCACCAATCGGGATAGTGGTCGACAATTTCGCAAACATTCGGCAATATATCTTGTCTGTTTTTTTGGGGAAGTGAAGCTGACCTGGTTTATTTCACTGTTTCCCTTAACCGTGCAGAGGCGCGTAATGTGCATAATACATCAGACTAGTGTGTTACAGATAAATCTTGCTGTGTTTCTCTTCATCTAACGGATTCTTTTTATTCTGCTTTCGCTGTTCTCAACTTCATTCGCCTTATTTTCTGTCAGGAAAAATATGAATTAGTTCTCGACGACGAAATTGATTTCCTCAAAGCCATCACACGCCCAGGTGCCAATGTCGAAGAGGAGCAAGAGGAAGAAGTATCTCCGGAAGATGAGCCAAAAAAGAAAATTGTCGATCGGCGGGCAGCGCTGCAAGAGGCCAAACGTTCTCTGCCCATTTTCAAGTTCCGCGAGGGTTTACTGCAAGCTATCGCAGATCATCAGATTCTTATCATTGAGGGTGAAACTGGCTCTGGCAAAACCACACAAATTCCGCAGTATTTATATGAAGCGGTACGTTCTTGTGGCATGTTGCACCGCTCTATCCGTGTCAACTATGACTTTGCTCATTTCCTTGTTGCAATCAGTGTTGTGTTAATCAAACCGTGTAAACTTTTCGGCATTCAGATATACTCGGCTTACTTACTTGTACTTCTGAGCGACTAACTCTTGTGGGAGAATAAGTCGGCTTCTTCTCAAATGATAGCAGCCCATGCGTGACGATCGGCGGCATGGTTGACGCAATGCGAGAACCAGTTATGATTCCAGTTACGAATTCCATATAAAAATTGGAGACCCATAGGTTTCATGTCCACTTTGATCGCACTGATCCAGGTCTTCAGTTAACAACCGAGTCGGCAATGCCATCCATGGCAGAGTTCGGGGGATACAGCCTGCCGCGGGAGTTGAGTATCGGGCCTTCGGAGCACGTGGCCAAACCACCGAAGGCGCCGAATTTGTAGCACTTTGGAAAGTTTGTTGATGTTAGAACAGCGCTGTCGAACCTCATCATTGGAAGCGTGATCTTTCCTATTTATTTTCGACATGTGGTGTAAGCACCAATGATCAAAGACCTCGAGCCTCCTTGTATCTTGTACTCTTAGCGGCTATAGTTCACAACCATAAGTGGGGATGGGGCGAATGGAAGCCAAATAACTGCAAGGCTTAGTGTGTAGGCTTATTTTTCAACGGTTCCACAACTATCTGAGGAGTTGCATGAAGGCTTATCTATCTTCGTCTACACGAAGTTGGCAGTTTGGTCTGACTGCAAATTCGTGATATTTGAAAACTTCGGTTGATTTGACAAGCTCCCCATTGAGCGAGAGGGGTTGTCCTGGAAGAGGTTTCGGTGGAAAATGTTTTAGTTTCCGACGTGTTTCTCTGTCTGGCCGAATGGTGTGGGCGAGATGGTGGTTGTGCATGGTGTCCTCAGGTACGACGACATCATCCACAAACTCGAGGTTAGCGATCCGTGTACCTAGGCCAGGCTGCACTCCGGAGTAGTCGATTAGTGCTTGTCGCATTATCCAATTTACGGTGTCATGGAATAACACCAGCCATAGGAGCAACATTACTTGATTCCAGAGCTCATTGTAAACTCAGCTGATTCTTATCCTTAGGTACAGACGCGTGTCCGGGCCCCCGAATAGCACGAATTCTCGGGCATCCCTTCGGACCGTAATATGCACCACATGGATTCTCTATAGGTAAAGTCAAAGGCAGCACCGAAAACGTTGAAACATGTAATAAACTGTTGGAACTTGTAGCGGTGTTCGAGAATCCTACGGAAAGTGAAAATTTGTTTAACACAGTCTCTTCACCGGCGAACCCCCCCCCCCCCCCCCCATGGATTCGGGTGAGTGCGGGTATCTCAGAAGACTGCAAAGCGGTTGAGTAGTATCACTGCAAAAATTGGGCTGAAAAATCGATGAGGCTGTTGCCCCAATAATTTTTACATTTTGATCTGTCGTCCTTTATTGGAACAGGGACTAAAATTGAAGTAGCCCAGTCTTTTCCAAATATATCTCCTTCACAAATAATGTTGGAAAAGATAGTGTAGCGGATCGATGAGAGTTGGTAGGCCAACTTTGAATAACTCTGGTGGTATCCCGTCTTTTCCACGGGCTTTCCTGCTTTTCAGAGAAGTGACTGCGATTTTTTTCCTACCAGATGAGTCATAATTGATGTTGTAGGTCTCCGAACTGCTTAACAGCTGTGGACGTACAGATCGGTTTGATGGGCAGTTAAGTAACCAGTCGAAGTGTTCGACCCACCCTTGCATTTTCTGTTCATTTCCCCGTAAAAATTGGCCCGTGGTGTTGCACAACAATGGTTCCGATATCTGTCTCTTTCTTGCAAAACGGATTAGTCGAAATAGCTTTCCCAAGTTCCTCTGCGACGGGTGCAGCCTTCATGCTATCTGCAATCGCCTTCCAGTATTGTTTACAGTCCCTCTTGGTGAAGCGCGTGACTTGGCGACATAGAGTACGGAGTTCAGGAGAGTTGATCAGCCGTACCTCTCTTACCTATGCGGACAACTGCAGTTTACGCTAGGGAATCCAGTCGCTTTTGTGGCGAAGAGTCTTACCTAACTGCCCCAGCGCCGCTTCTCTGGCGGACCTTTTCAGCGTGGACCACTGTGCGTCACCAGTTGAATCGTCGAGAGAAGTTGCGGCTGTGTTAGAAGTGGTTGCGTCCAGCAACGCCTACCTTTTCTCAGGTAGTTCCAAGTGCGATGTGGAATTTTCCTGGGGAACGAGTTCCCCGGTGAGCAATCAGTTGGATCTTGAAGCGGGCGTGTACAAGAGTATGGTCTGTGCCATTCCTGTTTCTGCTTAGCCACAGGAACTGCAGTCTCCCACTGCAGAGGCCCGGCGAGCATGTACCAAGGTGTAATCAGTCTGATGTGCCGTTCGACCGTCATTCGAGTACCACGTATGTAGGTGTTTTCTGTGGTGCCGGAAACGGGTGTTGACCACGAACGACCGGTTAAAGTCATCAACTGTGAATAGGTGTTCGCTGTTTTCGCAACGTTCACCAAGGCCGAACATCCTCAAGATATACCTAGCACGCTCGTCTTATGGACCAATGCGTGCATTCCAGTCTCCCGTGATAAGGAGAACATCGTGTCTCGGACTGCGGTTCGCTACATCTTGAACGTGATTATAGAAGTCGTCTTTGACGGACACTTCTGCATGTAACGTTGGAGCACAGACAGCGATAACGGTCAGAACAAACGGCTTGCTCTTGAGGCGCGCTATGGCAATCCTGGGAGTGATTGGTTTCCAGGAGATCATCATTATTGTTGGTCCGGTTGCTTACAGCGATGGCTACCGGAGTTGTCTGTTGAACCGCTGTGGTATAACCAGGAGGTTGCGTCGCTATGTGGTACGTTGATGTGTTTTGCACAACAATTAGGCAATCGGATTTCGGATAGACTGCATATGTCTGCTTTGTAGTCGTGCAATGAACGCTTTGGAATGCACTGGTTTTCTATGTCTAACAATGTTCTAACATTCCAGCAAGCTAGGTGAATGTTGGTTCTGGTATACAGATGATTTAGGTTCCCGTTTGTTATCCCAGCTTCTGGGAGAGCGCAGGTGGTGTCACTTCCCCTAGCATAAATGAGATGTAACATTGTAAGACGATCCACAAAGAAATTTGGGATTGAGGTACTAACTGACGTCCCCAGCGTCGCTCGGCTTTTGTTCGAGGGTGCACCTCCAACCTTTGCACAACCAAGTGCACCCTGCGGGGTAACAGGCTAGGATAGTTGGTAGCTGGTAACTGTCACAATGGTCTGAGGGTCGCTATTTAATACTTATCTCCTACACCGCTGTCAAAGCTTGTCCTACCCGGATGAGTAGACAAGTGGGCTCTCGGTCGGTAGAAAACTATGAGGAAGTAATCGATCCAAGTAAGTGGGTCTTCACTGTGTTTTATCCACTGCTTTGCTGTCCGGTTCTTATCAGAACTAAAAGCGTTGTTTGATAGCTCTAATCGTTCTCCTGATTAGTGGTTGGATTTTCTAACAGCACACGTCCATTGAGCTCCAATTAACACAGCCTAAACACTACTCACTGCCTCAAGTGGGGTGGATAATGATAATTGAGATGCTGCTCATAAATCACAACCTTCGTTTTATTCTTTGTCTTCTGTACCCAACCCTCTCCCTTTGTCCGTTCTTCAGGCCCCTATCATTCCATCATATAACGTGGTTCCTACTCATCCAAACTTGTTGCTAAATAGCATCGAGTACCTTACGATCAACTACATTGCAGATTCTGAAACCTCGTTCAGCTCTGAACCTGGGGGCCTTCAACATGAGAACTCTGGTGCAGGTGGATCAACAAGCATATCTTGTGTCTGCAATGAACTATTTGGAAATTGATGTTTGTTGCTTACCGGAGATCCTAGTAGCATAATCCAATGAAGTGCGCTCGCTTTGCTCGAGATATTTCCTTTGCACGTCGGCTGGCGATGAAGCCTGCCCATTGGGTCAGCGCGGAGTCGGTATCGTAGAATCGACAAGGCTACGGTTTCACTGATAGTCTGTACATCCGTCAATAGTTGTTTACGTGCGATGGGGCTCCAGAGATTTATCAGTGTCCTTTGAGGAAGCAATACCAAAAAGGCGTACGTTCACCATTTAGCATATACGTCTATTGTTTTCATCCGTTACGAGAGGGGTTAGAAGGATTGCGGAGTAGATCAACAGTCGGATTAGATTAGATGTGAAGTACATGGGGCAGCAAACTTTACTGGTGGAGTCGAGCCTGGAGCTTGTCGAATATATTGGATCTCTCAAGAGTTAGTAGTCCTGATAGAAAAAAATTGAGAGGTTCCCAATATGTCAGAATCAACATAGGAACCGGTGATGTCTTCAACGTCAGCTTAGGAATGATCGCGAACACTGGTGGGCCAAAATAGCCAGTGTAGGAGAAGTAGCCACTTCAAAGATTGCTTCACCTGACACTCATCGAATACCGGTCAGTTAGGCCATCTGCAACAAATGTGGACAGAGCATTTACAACAAGGAGCAATGGATTCATGGCGAACAACTCAGCCGGTGTGGTGCTATTAAGGTCATTCTGGCCGTTGCAGCTGAAACTCAGTGAGTCTGAACATGCGGACACTGCATACGTGGAATGACGATTTTGTATCCTAGCGCTCCGGAAAGAAACGGATAGCAGGCTTCACTTCCTCTCCTTTTAAGCTGAGGTGTCTCTGTTAGACTCTTACTGGTTTACTACGAAGCATCTGGTCGGAAGAACGTATTCCTGAAAGCTGTAAGGTAAATGAGGCGTGACTGTGTGCCAAACAAATCACGGTACAATAATGATTATGAAAGAAAAAAATTCCATGGGCGGAATACTGCCAGGCTGTCAATACCAAGGCAGGTGAATTTTATTGGGAGAATCACAATTGGAGTCTTTGACTAGCCAAAGCTTGATCCGCAAGGTAGTGGGCCGATCTCCGAAAACCGCGATCCATTGGAAGCCGGTGTTCAGTTCATCGGATGATACGCACTTTGGACGGGGTCAAACGTTCACGGTGCCCAATATACCTCGGTGCTCAATTGATCCGGTGACCACTGCCGCAACCAAGGTGTGTGCGTGCGGTTCGTACGCCACTTCTTGGTTCGTTTGAAATCAGTGTCTTAGTCAATGCCCTCGAGTGAAGAGCCAGTGTTTCACTAACCCGGTTATGGCCCCGGATGTTGGCTTTTCGTCCTCTTACTTCATCATCATTGTACAGCGTAATACAGTGAAGCAAACTTCACTGATCGTTGCCAAACTCACAATCCATACAAGATAAATGAGAATGTGTAAGGAGGACAGGGATTGGGCCTATTTTTAGGGACGGGAAAAGAAAGCGAACCTCTCTGGTCAACACAAAGTACACAGCCCAACTGTGCATACATACAACTTCAACCATTCTGATCTGATAAGAAGTGACAGCATGATCGCCATTGCTGTCGGTTCGCAGCCATGACCTTCAGTGTCTCCAATCATGCGGTTTCGGAGTCTTTTGGACCCCAACCCGGAAGACGAGAGACACCTACTCTACCTAATCGCTCTGTGCATTTCTTCATGCTTTGTCTTCACGTCATCTGCTGGCCTCCACGTGGCTTTCTCCAGCCTGTAACAGCCACTGAAAACAAAGCGCGCTGCGGTAGGCGACTGTCGGACATACCCAAAACATGTCCTAACCAACGGAGCCTACTGAGCTGGATTCTATGAGCTAGCGAGTTCTTGTTTGATGTATAACCAAACGCCCGACGGCTTACTTTTAAGTTACTAACCCGTTCACTCCATCCCACTTGGGCCAGATTGCGTAAGCATCGATTGTCGAACACTGCTAAACGACGGGTTTTTTCTATCCGCAAATTCAAAGTCTCACAACCGTAAAGTAGAACTGATCGTACGATGGCGCAGTATACGCGACTTTTCAACTTTAGTGACACGTCACGTCACGCCACGCCACCACAGGTGTTTTAGTCCTGCGTACGCTGCTCGAACCTTGGAAATGCGGGCGGTTATCTCTTTTGCTGCGGTACCGTCATTCTTCACGCAACTACCTAAGTACGAGAAACAGTCAACTTCAGCTAATTCCTGACCGTCTAGTTTCAGAACAGACCTCGGCGACACCCAGTCTTGTAACATCATTTTGCACTTTGAAGGTACAAAGCACATGCTGAACATAGCGACAGAACTTGCTGATCTGTCAAGTGCTCTTTGTGCATCCTCCATACATTCAAGTAAGCAAACGATGTCATCAGCGTACTCCAAATGGCACAGCTTTTCTCCAGCTTCCCATTTAATACCCGCATTTTGGAGACCACTTAGTGTGTTCTCCAGTATTTCGTCTATGACGAAATTGAACAGGAATGGCGAATGA